TTTGTTTGTGGTCTGACTCCTGAGTGCACCCTCTGGGATCTGGACCTGTTCCTGACACAAGCGGGGTGGGGTGGACCTCCACCTCTCTCGAAACAAACTTCAGAGCCCTCTGCATGGGTTCCTCCCCTCTCTGCCTTCCCCCACGGCTGCTGCAGGCAGCAGGCTGGGCGGCCCCTTCTCAGCAGTTAATGTGTCACTAAAGGCCTGCCAGGAATGTGGCTCAGGACTCCGTGTCAGGCTTTCTTCGGGACCAACACTCTCCCAGGAGTGGCGCAACCTGCTTAATCTCAGCGACTCCCCTCCTTGGCCCAGTCGGAGGGCAGGAAGGGCGCTAAAGGGGAGACGCCTTGCTCGTGGGCTCTGCTGCCAAGCCCAGCCAAGCTCCAGGTTTGTTCTGCCTTGGGAGGATGTCATGATGCACGAAATCGGGTGCTTCTGAAGGGGCTGGGGAATTCTGGGAGTTGACGTCCACAAGTCTTAAAATGCCGAGTTTGGAGACCCCGGCCTAGCACAAAGGTGTGCAACCATTTTTGTGCTGAGCGGGGCCTCTGAAGCTGCCTTGCAAATACCAAATTGGATTTCATTGCACTAAATTGTGTTTAAACGATTATGCCCTGCTATTTTTCCTCTTCCACTGCATTCAGTGCTCACGTGGAATTCCTTTTGTATTCAAGTTTAGAGTCCAGCCTTTGCCAGGCTGGATGGTCTCCAAATACATGGGCTTCTAGAATTCTCAGGAATGGCCAAGCTGGTTGCTGGTTCTGAGAGCTGAAGTCTACACATCTGGTTGTGCTGCTTGGAGAAGGGACCCAGTTCCCCCCGGGGGGGGGGAGCAATCTTTTCTGCTGTCCAGAAGTCTTTGGAAGAGACCCATGGTCCTTTGTAATAGGGAGGTTGCCTTTAAAAGGAGAATAGCATGGCATAGCCTTGTCTTCCATTATCTGGATGTCTTCTGAATGGGTTGGTAGGTATGTTTGTAAATACACTAAATAGATGCTCAACCCCAGTTGCCCTGGAATTGAAGTGCACATCCCTGGAAGGGATCCACATTGCAGAAGGCTGATTCAAACATTTCATTGAAAAATTTGTGATTAGGCAAATGTCTACAGAGATTCTCAATTATCCAGATCATGGTTGTTCCATGGGGTTCAAAAGGCAATTGGACTTTCTTGGGGTTTTTTTTTTTCCTTGAAAATGTTTCGCATCTCATCCAAGAAGCTTCAAGCCAGCACTGAAGAAGCTTCTTGGATGAAAACCGAAACATTTTCAAGAAAAAAAAAACAAAGTCCAGTTCTCAACCAAGAAACCTTTTGAACAGCACCTTTGGGATTGTGATTAGGCAGTCCCTCTGTCTGCCTGTATTCCTGTCCTGTCCTGTCTGCCTATCTCAAATTTCTACCCTGTCGGCTTAACCAAGTGACTCTGGTCAATTTACAACAGCAATAGCTCCTCTTAATGTCAGAAGTTGGTGGTGGAGCTTGACAGAGCCATGTAGCTCAACCATGAAGAGGAGTATACTAAATCAGAGTCACTTTGTGACAAATTTAATACATGCAGGTGTGTGAATCTCTCTTCTGGGCTGTGTTTTATCAGGACTGCCGTATCCGTGGCTGAGCAGTGGAATCTTTCCTTTCAGTGCTGCGAAATATCTTCTGCTGGAAAGCATAACTTTTGTTGATTCCTTGCCAGACTCTAACTCAGAAGCAGACCTGGGTTTCCTAAGACGCTTCCTGTGTAAAAGAGTATCCTGAATCCTCAGTCTGGCTTTAAAGGAGTGTCCAGATGGAATGCCTTAACCGCCTTTGGCTTGGCTGGGCCCTTCGTACTTTTAGGCTTCAAAGTTGCTTAATAATGTGGTGGGAAAGGAAGGGCAGCTCAGAAGGCTGGGCTGAGCATTAGTGCTTTACGGCATAAGGGAGGAATCCAGTCTGCGAACGGATGGGTCCCACTGAGGAGGGCTGGCAGAGTTTTTAAAAATCCCTAGTGCAGCGGTTCTCCACCTGTGGGTCGGGACCCCATTTGGGGTCGAACGACCATTTCACGGGGGTCGCCAAACAACGCAGTCCACCATTTCCCCCCCCCCCTTTTCCTGTGCTACTCCCTTTTCTTCTATTGGCTTTTGAAAGCCAATAGAATAGACTCTCTTGAATAGAGTCTAATTCTATTGGCTTTCCAAAGCCAATAGGAATTGTCCAGGCTGTCTCTGCCCTGCTGAGCCCGCCAAAAGTCCCATTCTGCAAACGGTGCTGCACCAGTTGAGTAATCCTCGACTTACGACCGGTTGAGTAGTCCTCGACTTACGACTGGTTGGGGGGGGGTCGCGGCATTAAAAAGTTGAGAACCACTGCCCTAGTTGTTGGGGAGGGGGCTTGACTGAAAAGTTTCACCCTGCCCTGAAAATCCTTTGAAGATAAAAATAGGGATTAAAAATAATGTTTCTACTGATATTAATGTAGCTTTTCTGACAAATTGATAACAAAATAATGAAACAAATTAATTAAATCCATAATACCACTTCCTGGCCCTGAAATTGAGAGTGGTTCCAGCAGAATCAGTCCTTTTTGTCCCTGCCCTCAGGGCAACAGCCAATGTGACAACAGATAAACAAAACCAAACTTTAAAAAAAAAAATGTAAGAACTCATTTTAATGTAGGTGGTATTTGTGTCCTCCAACATTCTGTGTTGGAGAACGTAAATACAAAGCTGTTCAGATCATGGAGATATAGCAGTTTTGAAAGGGGATTTCAAAAGAAAATACAGTATTCCAGAGGGTCCATACAGTAATAATAATTTAATAACAACAACAAAACAACAACAATAATAAGAAAGCAAGCAATGGTAGTACCAATAGTAATAGGCTCCTTGGGTGCAATCCCAAAACAACTGGAGCACCACTTGAACACCATTGGCATTGACAAATTCGTTATTAGTCAATTGCAAAAGGCGGCCTTACTAGGAACTGCTTCCATCCTGCGACGATACCTGTAATACCATCAAACATCGACATCTGCCTATCCCAGGTTCTGGGTAAGGGCTTGATAGGTAGACAAAATGCCAAATCCAGTCTGAACATCTGGTTGACTGTGCGATGATCCATAATAATAAACGTTGGAAGGGATATTAGAGGTCATCTAGTCCACCCCCTGCTCAGGCAGGAAACCCTACACCATTTTGGACAGATGGCTGTCCAGTCTCTTCTTAAAAACTTCCAGTGTTGGAGCATTTACCGCTTCCGGAGGCAGGTTGTTCCACTGGTTAATTGTTCTAACTGTCAGGAAGTTTCTCCTTAGTTCTAGGTTGCTTCTCTCCTTGATTCGTTTCCATCCATTGCTCTTTGTCCTGCCTTCAGGTGTTTTGGAGAATAGCTTGACTCCCTCTTCTTTGGGGCAGCCCCTGAGATATTGGAACCCTGCTATCATGTCCCCCCTCATCCTTCTCTTCATTAAACTAGTTGCAATAAAAGGTTGCAATAAAAGGTTCCAAATTTTAGTCAAAATTATAAAAAAACCCACTAAAGATAAATTGACTTATGTACAATGTGAGATGTGCATAACAGGCTAAATGCATACAACTACTAATTTGCACAGAAAAATAGAAAAAATATGCACCCAAAGTTCTCCTGACCATCTTAAGTTAAAATGTTATTTTAGGAAACATGGACAGAAATGTATGCTTTGAAATGATAAGCAGAAGTTGATATGTCTGCAAACCTGTGGGTGGAAATTACAACGGTTTGAAAGCAGGCATAATACTGCCTCTCTGCATAGTCCCTGTTAGCAGTCTGGCCACATTTTGAATTATCTGAATTTTGTGAAGCACCTGCAAAGGTCGCCTTACCTAGAGTGTGTTGCAGAAGTTTGTCTAGAGATCACCAGTTGATGTGCCACTGCTTTGCAATTCTTTTCTTCGAGAAATAGGCAGAGCTATTGTAGCAGTCTCAACGGGGAAAGAAAAGGAGAGGTGGGTGGGGTAGCTGTGCTTTCTGGAAGCAGTATAAGCCCACCCGGAATCAGAGCGCCCATCCCCTTCCAAATCACGATCTTCACAATGAGTACTTTTGCTGGGATTGGATTCAATCCTAATTTCTTAGCTCTCATCAAACTCTCTTGGGACATGAAACACTTCAGATTCTTAAAAATGCTTCAGAGGGGGCAGGGACCCTCAAATAGCCCCTGCTGCGCGACTCTGTAAAGATGTTTCATCTTTTTCCTGCACACGTGACTGTGCAGCTACTACACAATATTGGGAAAATGCAGGTAATACTACAGTGTTTCCACACACACTGAAACACCTTTTTGAATTTGAAGTACAGCCTTTCCGCTGTAGGTGTTGAAGATTACTTGAGGGTAATAACATGGAGAAATAAGTTAGTGTCATTGGCACCAAGATGATCTCATTCGGCCATTTCATATGAGTGACAGAGTGGAACCCAGAGCGACTTCATGTAAATTTTTAGGAGTGACTGTGTCATCAAGCATCCATTGAGTTCTACCCAAAGGATAGGAATGGAACAGGGCAGTACTTCAATTCCCAAATCCCTTAGTCCGTAATTCTAGAAGATACCTTCCAAATCCAGAAGATACCAACTGGTATCAAAAGTTATTGAGAGATGCAGAGAAACTCAACAGTGATACTCTCTGGACTAGTCAAGGTCATCTGTCAGGCTGACCAAGGCCATTTCAACCCCATAGCTGACTTTGGAGGCTGCTTAAAATGCATCTAGGTAAGCTGTTCTTCCAAAACACTTGAAGCTGTTTGCTACTACCTTCTCCATCATCTCTCCCAACCAAGAGAATTTGAAGACTGGCCTGTAATTTTTCCTCATTTAGGAAACCAGCAGGGTAGGTTTCTTAAAAAGAGACCCAAATGTTGCCAGCCACCCTGCTGTTCCTCAGTGAGGCTTTGTGGAACTCAGCAAGACCAGTTCCCATAGCAAGCTTGCACAATGAAACCAGTTGTGCTGGGCAACTGTCCAAAGAGCCGAATCAATACCAAAAGGACAATAGTTTTGGTGCAGCTTTTCAGCTTGGGAGTAGCAAATAACACCCAGTTGGTCAACACACCATTTCGTATCTACTTTGTCTCTCCCCACTATTGGAGGTTACTGCCAAAGCATACATTCCTTTAATTCTTGTGTTGCACCTCAGACCGAGCCATTTTGTGAACTCCGGGCAGAGCTGAAACGTCCATTTCTTTTTAGAATACTACAAAATGTATCTTTGCATTCTTGCTGGGAGGAGGGATGGCTTGCCTGACGATGAATTTGTACACTTTGAAGACTTATGTGTATTTTAAATCAAGGGTAAGTCTTTTTTTTTTTTTACTGCTTGTGTCCACTCTATTTATCTGGTGTTTTTAAATTACTCCCGTGCAAGGGGAATGGCAAAGCTCCTTTTCAAATTGAGGATTAACAGTCACCATCTTGCTTTCATGGTTGGGTCAGTCCTTAAATCTTTAACATGCCATTCTTGACCTCAGAATTCTTTGTCATTCAGTAATGTAGAAACTGGGGACAGGAAAAAATTGGAAATGCCAGAATTTGAGCAGATGTTTCAACCGTAAGGTTCGCAGTTGAAAATCTGCCTCAGAGTGGAAACAGTAGACCAATGGTTCTCAACCTGTGGGTCGGGACCCCATTTGGGGTTGAACGACCATTTCACGGGGGGGTCGCCAAACAACGCAGTCCGCCATTTTCCCCCCCTTTTCCTTAGCTGTGCTACTCCCTTTTATTCTATTGGCTTTTGAAAGCCAATAGAATAGACTCTCTTGAATAGAGTCTAATTCTATTGGCTTTCAAAAGCCAATAGGAATTGTCCAGGCTGTCTCTGCCCTGCTGAGCCCGCCAAAAGTCCCATTCTGCAAATGGTGCTGCACCAGTTGAATAGTCCTCGACTTACGACCGGTTGAGTAGTCCTCGACTTATGAGTCTATTCTATTGGCTTGTTGGGTGCGATTTGTCAGCCAGTTACAAACCTATCTGGTGATGATATTGTCTATCCCACATTTTTCTACTTACCAAGAAGTAGGTTGTGGTTGACTTTGCCTTGCTGAAGTCTAAGTATTACTATGTCTACAGCATTTTGCTGGTCTACTCATTGAGTCACTTTGTCAAAGTGACTAAACCAACCTCAGTGTGTACCCGGAAGCCCTTTCTTAACTTTCCAGAAGGGTCTGATGGTTGATAGCGTCAAAAGCTACTGAGATGCCCAAGGAGAGCTAGCAGGATTATGTTTCCTCTGTCTGCCTGCTAGCAACCGTTTCACCTTTGAGGCAACAACATTCAGAAAAGCTGCATGTGGAAAGCCAGTACCAGCTAGGGGTGCCGCAAACCATTTGCCCAAAAGATGTTAAAGAAGAAATAACAGATGCAAAAGAGAATAACTCAGAAGAACTACAGGATAAAGAGATGAAGGAAATAGCATCTGATGCCAAAATATAAAGAAATACTGTTGAGAATATAAAGAAATAGTTGAAATACTGAAAAAATAAAAATGGGGGAATTATAAAATAGGGATAACAGCTAGTGGAAATATTGATAAGCCAAGAGAATGACCTGGAAAATGATTATATTCTGGATTTATGAAAGAGGACCGATAAATCCCAGAAGCTTTTAAGTTGGGAAAAAGAAAAATTGAAGAGAGATTGAATTCTATGACAGCACCTGAATAAAGATCAAGATTGCTAGAAGCAAAAGAAAGGAGTAGAAAGTTGGTTTGTTTGACCAGGCTCGAACCAGGACATGTTACTGTAAAATTCTGAGAACTCTTTTCTGGACATTTTGCTGATACGAGAACGGAAATGATAATGATTTATGAGTTTGTATATGAGTAAGAGATAGGATATGGAAGGAAGAGAGATACTTGCATGTAACCTCGTCTAGCGGGTCTGCCTGTGTTTTTATCAGTAACACCTACAAAGTTATTAAATTTGTGCTTATTGTGAAGATCGATAGTCACTCCTTTCTCTTTTTCATATCTTTTTGCTCTCTCTGTTTTTCTTGTCTTCCGAGTTTAGTTTGCATTGCCTTTTATTATTCTTAAAGACTTTCAACAGCATTAAAAAGAAAAGAATGCCAAGTGTCATCTTTGCCTGTCGGCTAGATTTTGCATCTTTTGTCTTGGAGGCAGCTTTCTCTTGTGCAAGAGCTTTATGCCTTCAGGGTTTCCGTGGCTGCAATTCCACCCTGTGCAGATCATTTGCTATCTCCTGATCATTCAGCATCCACCTCTCTTCTGAATAAAGCTCCTCCTCCACCACCCTCGTGGGAGAACTGCAAAGGGAGGAAACTTGGTGCCTCCGCCAGTCTTGATTTCCTTGGGTGGCCCCTCCGCAAGTACGATGGTCCTCCTGTACGATTCCTAGTCGAGCCGCCCTTTGGTCAGTTCTGGGGAAGGAGACCATGAGAGCTGGGGCAAGTCCCCTGAGGAACCCCTGCTGGCCCAGCGTCTGGCATTCCCGTGCGAACACCTGAAACAGCAGGAGCTGAAGTGCACCCTTGCTAGGGCTGAGTAGACGCACCTGGACAGATTTGCTGCTGAGCTGGTTTGGCCAGTGCTCTGGAGATGGGAAGCTACTTGTCTGCCTCGGCGCATGTCACTCCAAGGAAGCCCTTTTGGTAAGTCTGCCCTCCCGTTTGCCTCGTCTGCCTAGTGGGCCTTGTTTGCGAAGAGAGGCAACCATTTGGGAACCTGGAAGCCCTGCCCTCAACTGGTCTACCTCCTGCTTTGCTTGGAAGCTGGGTGAAGGGAGGACAACTTCAGGTGTCTTTGCCTGTTTCGCTCTGTGCTAGGATTTTCTGTCCATAGAGCAGGGGTTCTCAACCTTGGCAACTTTAAGACTTGTGGACTTCAACTCCCAGAATTCTTCACTGGCTGAGGAATTCTGGAAGTTGAAGTCCGCAAGTCTTAAAGTTGCCAAGGTTGAGAACCTCTGCCATAGAGCAAAGGCAAAGTGGAAAGTCATAATGTATTACTTGAAGAGGCGCTTGAGACTTTATACATGAACTTGATTGAACTCAGTATGTTATTGGAATATAGCACTGATCCATTATTCCTGGCCTGGTGGTAGACATCCGTGGTTGGCGGTACGTAGCGTCTATGAATATTAGTGTCCATAAATGTCTCTTTTTGTATTCCCCACAAATTGTTAGAAGGTTAAATTGGTGTGAAACCCTCTTTCTTTCGAAGTATTTCTAACAATCTGGAAAAAAGATAAAGGTGAATTGAGATATGGTGAAGAGCATTTTTGGTACTGGAGTGGTGGTGGCAGTGAGCAGTTTTACTAGTTGACTTTGCGGTAACCATTCATCTGTTAATGAACTTTCCAACATGGCACCTTTCAGTGAAGGCAGCTATGTCTTATTCTCCAAATTCTATCTGTTCTTGCCTGTCTCCAAAGGTGGCCTTTCTCTGGTGCAGGAAAGAAGATAAGGAACTTACAAGGAACTGCTGATCAATCAGCTAGTAAGCAACCACAAAAATAGCCACTGATTTTCTTTAGGTGTAGAGTACTTTGAATCTGGCTTTGAAACTTAACATGTTGCTTTGTCAGTTCTGTGTAGCTTGCAAAATGCATAAAGTTTTGAATCAGTTCATGACACCTTCTAGACAGAAGTGATTTTCTCTTTTATGAAACAGTAGAAGCTTGTTTTAAAATAAATAAAAATTGTCATTGAGCATAAGGAAAAATAACTTGGCCAGAGGCCCGTTTCCAAAATACATTCCTTGGAAACCTCAGGTAAATTTAGAGCAGTGGTTCTCAACCTTTTTAATGCCGCGACCCCCAACCGGTCGTAAGTCGAGGACTACTCAACTGGTGCAGCACTGTTTGCAGAATGGGACTTTTGGCGGGTTCAGCAGGGCAGAGACAGCCTGGACAATTCCTATTGGTTTTGGAAAGCCAATAGAATTAGACTCTATTCAAGAGAGTCTATTCTATTGGCTTTCAAAAGCCAATAGAATAAAAGGGAGTAGCACAGCTAAGGAAAAGGGGGAAAAAATGGCGGACTGCGTTGTTTGGCGACCCCCGTGAAATGGTCGTTCGACCCCAAATGGGGTCCCGACCCACAGGTTGAGAACCACTGATTTAGAGCGATCTGAATAATGTGATGCCTCGTTGAGTGAATTTGCTGCATATTCCAGGAGGAATTGAGAAAGAGGTCGGTGGGAGCTATTTAGTGTGGGGCAGGATAATATTTTTTTTCCTCGGTGGAATTTCCAAAACTCACTTGGTAGGTATGTACGCTACATGAGAAACTGTGACCGTGAACTCACTTTAAAGACCACTTTAAAGGCCTCTCTCCCTGTTTGCCCTGGAACCTGGATCCGCATCCCAGTTCTTTGACCAGCCAGAGCCAAAAACAAAGGCAAAGTGTTTCGGAATGACAGACTTTCAGTGGGGATCAGATTTCATGTTCAGTTGCACAATGTACAAGTTGGGTGGGTGGAGCTCTCTGGAAAAGCACACCTAATGATGAAGACAGTGTGGTCTGGCCAGCATCGGCATGTTTCCTCTTAGGAAGGTGTCAAGAGTCTGTAGCTACAAGCCGGAGTACATCCTCCCATGCAACAAATAGGTCTCTGCTGCCAAGCTAATGAATTTTGAGGGAGGATAAAGATAGTTTTGAAATCTTGCCAAGGATCAGGTGCCAGTAGTGTTTATCACAAAGTGTTCAGAGTCACTGCAAGAATTTAATTTTTGTTTCCATTCTGGGATTCTTTGGAATTTTCTTGCTCAGTGATATCTTAAGAGTTTTCCAGCCTCTTTCCTTGTTGCTCAGGTGTAACTGTGGCTGCTACAGAGGGGCTTTTAATATAGCACAGACTCCAAGCTACTTTCATCATGGTCCATCTTCCAAAAGATGCTTTTCGGTTCCCAGCAGGTGGAAAGAAGCCTTGGCTGTTTCTGTGACGCCTCACTTTGCCTCTGGTTGAAAAAAGTCATCTCTAGCTTGAGTTTTCTTTTTGGATTCTCCTTCATTGTCTCTTTCCCAGGCTGAAGAGATGGAAATAGCTGCAGGCTTTCTCTATTAAAATCAAGCAACATTACTAATTAAATCAGATTAGTACATAGGATTATCTATCTATCTATCTATCTATCTATCTATCTATCTATCTATCTATCTATCTATCTATCTATCTATCTATCTATCACTCCATCCATCATATTTAGAAACTGCTCATCTCCCTCATAGAGGAATCGTGGGTTGTATGTGCAAATAAAATGTTAAAAATATAAAGTCTGAATGTAAAAATATTAAAATAGGGCAAGAGTAGTTAAAAATGTGAGTTTAAAAGTTAATGAAAAGACAGGGCTGGGCTTTCAAGGGTGCTAACCAGCCCATCATTTTGGGCTCTTAAATCTTAATCTTCAGAGTAGCCCATCACAGATGGTTAGAGGTGAGGGAGCCTCACTGTGGCTACAGCCTCATCTCTAGAGTCCTCTTTGTAGCTGTCTGGGAGCACTTGAAAGGCTGGAGAAAACGGACAGTCCCATGGCTGCAGCCCTTAAATTTACCAAATGTAGCTGAAATAATCATTCCATCCTCATAAATTACTAGCCTATTTCTCTTTGGAGGAGCAGACTGCACTGCCATAGTTTTGGAACAATAATCTAATGATGTCATAGTTTTGATCTGAAAGAACCTGAAAAGATAGAAAATTCATAAAAGTTGGAAAGAAATACATAATGTCTTCCCTTTTCTACAGATTATAACTCTCTCGTCTTGCAGTTCATCTTCCATTGAGGTTTCTCAGAAATAAAGCAAGATACCTTCAAAAATAGATTCTAGCTCAGTGGTGGCGAACCTATGGCACACGTGCCAGAGGCGGCATTCAGAGCCCTCTCTGTTGCCCCAGCCCTGCCTCCTCCCATGGCCTCTTCCTCACCAGCAGCCCCCCCCCCCCAGAGGAGAGTCGCCGTCGGGCGTGGCCCACAAGAAGCAGCGCAGCCAAGGACATGGTAGCCAGGCAGCGGGGACAAGACTCTGCCCTTGCGCCCCATCACGCGCAGATGATGCTGTGAGGCACAGGCGGAGGGCGTGGCCACCCTGGTGCTGCTGGGCCACTTGTCTGATCTGTGGCGGGCCATGTAGGTGGTGGGTGGCCCAGCGGGCAGGGCGGAGCAGGGACGGGGGTGGGGGGCAGGTTTTGGGCCCTCGGTCTCTAAAAGGTTCGCCATCACTGTTCTAGCTTGACTGTCACATTTGAGCTGCTATTGTGCAGAGTCCCAGTTGTGATGGACGGAAGCAGTGATGCTGAGAGCATTCTCTCTCCAATATTGCACAATAGTGAACTTCCGTTAGAGGTGAAAAGCGCACAAAGTGGCCTTGCTGTTCCATGATGGGCTACATGTGATGATGGGTTTTGAGGTTCTTTAGAAGAGCTCCAGGTTAGAGTTACTTCTAACTTGACTCAAGGAAGCAGTTCAGAGGCAGCTAGGTGTCATGAACTCTTAGCAATCCTCTAGTCCAGAGATCCCCAACCTTTTGGGCACCAGGGACCGGTTCCGTGGAGAAAAGTTTTTCCGTGGACCGGAGTGTGTGTGGTTTTGTGTGCTGCCTGCATCCCTCGGATGGGCCTTTATTGTTTGTGCGGACCGGTTGCTGGCATGGCGCGGCCCGGTACTGATCCACGGAGTGCGGGTTGGGGACCCCTGCTCTAGTCATTTCAGAACAGCTGGACCAGCTTGACCATTTTGCCATCACAGTTAATCGCCACCTGGATCCCAGGGGTATTGGCCTCTTGTCACTAAATCCTAGAAGGTCCAACAGCTTAATGACCACCGCTAAGGATTTTTTTTCTATGCGTTGAATCAAAAGACAGGTTATGGCAGTGTTTCTCAATCTTGACAATTTTAAGGCATGTGGACTTCAACTCCCAGAATTCCACAGCCAGCAATGCTGGCTGTGGAATTCTGGGAGTTGAAGTCCACATGCCTTAAAATTATCAAGGTTGAGAAACACTGGGTTATGGTGACAGTTTGGGAAGCCACCGTTTGCTGGTCAGCTCTTCTTCAGTGCTTCTGGTCTGCCAGAGCCGCACTGCTGTGTGCTGCTGGCATGGCTGCTGTTGGCTCTCCCCTCTCCATTGTTTTCTCTGTGATTTCTCTATGTTTGCTGGTTAAATGGTGCCCATTGGGTAGCCAGCAAATAAAACATCCGGCCCTCTTTCTTTTTCCCCGCCAGCTGCTCCGAATGCCAGGACCTCCTCACCAACTGGTACTACGAGAAGGATGCCAAGCTGTACTGCCCCAAGGACTACTGGCGGAAGTTTGGGGAGTCTTGCCACGGCTGCTCGCTGCTGATGACGGGGCCCGTCATGGTAAGTCTTGCCCCGTGCTCTCCCTGGCCGTGGCCAGCTGGCATCCCGGGCTTCCCTTTGGCGGAGGCGAATGGCCTGTCTTAGCCACAGAGATGGGATCGGTGGGCTTCTCTCCCTGAAGGGCCACGTATCTCCCAGCAAGCAGGGTGCTGCCTTTCAGGGTAGAGCAGTGTGGTTAAAACAGGAGAGGCATCCTCCCAACGTGTCTGTTGAGATTCTCAGTCATCCAGCTGACAGTTGTCTCAAAGGTGCTTTTTCAAAAAGCAAGCGGACTCTTATTTGTGATTGTGTGTGTGTGTGTGTGTGTGTTCTGGTTGTTAGCACTCTCTCTCTGAGAGCCGTTGAAACCACTTGTGCCCCCAGGGTCACCTAAAGCAGTGGTTCTTAACCTTTTTGAACGAATCGCCCCCTTGAGCCAATGAGGAAGTTGTCATCGCCCCCTCCCCCAACATAACCCCTCAATCACAACATAGGAAATAATTCTTCAATTTATGCAAACCCTTTTTTTTGTTTGCTTTAAAATTGTCATCAGGACGTATCGATGCAAATAATTTATTTCCAGTCTTTTTCCCCTATCTCCCATATTCTGGCCAATGGCGCGCCACTGTATGGGTAGAGGCTGCTGCGCAACGCGCACGAAGATAAGCGATGCGTCTTCACATAGGTACGGCGTTCTGTCCTGAAGCTAGCTGGAGGAACATTTGAAAACACAATTCAGTCCACTAATAGCGAGAGATCTGTTGTTTTTGTACGACAGATATACAGCGATTCATTGTATGAAAAAGTCTCAAAAGTGTCCCCAAAACTTCTCGCTCCATCGCTCCCATATCGCCCCCTTTTCATTCCTTCGCCCCCCTGAAAAATGAAATCGCCCCCTGGGGGGCGATATCGCCCAGGTTAAGAACCACTGACCTAAATCACTAACCCTAACCGTCTCAACATTGAATGTTAAAACCCCAAATTGCTTCATTTTATGAGTTACAGCTTTAAATGTTTGGCCCTTTCAAAGATTGGGTGAAGGGACACTTGGGGGTCAAGGAGGGACACATTAATTTCATCCCTTAAGCTAGTGTTTCTCAACCCTGGCAATGTTAAGCTGTGTGGACTTCACTTCCCAGAATTCTTCAGCCTTAACCTCACCCATTAAAAGAGTCCTTGGGCTGGCTTTTTAGTGTCCTGGAAGCAGGTTTCTTATTTGGTTGGGGGTGGAAGACCCTTCTGCGGGAGGAAACATGATGTCAGGGAGCATGGCAAAGCCAGGTCGCCTGCATGGTGGGTGGCATGTTTTCTTATGTTTTCCTAGGCTTGGGAAAACGTTTATTTTTAAATAATGCTAATCTCATTTGAGGGCTTTAGCTGTTGTTTTCAAGCGTCTCCAGTCTCCAAAGTGGTGAGAAACAGCCCATTTCAGACCTAGGGACCCCAGGGCCTGAATTCATGGAGGAGACTGGCTGAGGGCTGAAACCTGATGGTGGCTGGGGGGGGAGCCAGAGTTTCCTTCCATGCTGGCCTTGGGGCTTGTCTTATGCTTGGGGGCACGCTGCAATATGGAGGAAGCCCTGCTCGCTCTACATACAGCCTGTAAGGACCCACCCCACTTTGCATCTTAAGAAGACAGAACTCTTGGAATAGCTCTTCCAACAGGAATCCTTTATTAAGAGAAAATGGTTGCAGGCATGCTAGACAGGACTTGGGGTTCAAGCTCTCCCATTCAAGGTTTTAAGGGGTTCCCCAGTAGTCCCACCCAATCAACCCCCCTTCCAGTGATAGTTTCAAGTATCACAATTCCATCCCCTTTCTTCTTCCGTCTGGATGGAGACTTCAGATAACTACATGAAAGGCAATTACTCTTCTTTGATATGTTAAAGCTTAGAGGCCCCAATAAACACACATTCAGTCCTTTGAAGTGTGCTGAAGGAAGTGAGGGCCATAAAGCCCCTTTGCTCTCCCCCTTTTCTCCCTCTTATGGCAGAATCCAGAGAAGGCAGAATTGGGAGTTTCTATGTTTGATAATTAAAGATGAAATATAATTGGATTCTGACACAGCCGGTAGATGCTTTAGATGGGTAGGCAAATCTCCTGGTTTTATTGTTTCTGTCTTCAAAGTAACTGGAAGAGATGCAACAATTTTAGGCAGTTGAAAGATAGGGGGGGGGCAGCTCCTAGTCCCCCCCTCCCCGGGGTTTCTAGTTTTGCTTTGGTCCTGGGATAGTGGGCAGCTTCCCTACTGTCTTCACAAGGGCACCTCCTGGAGACACAGCATGGCAAGCAAGGAAGGCTGCGAAGGACAGGGCTGTAGGACAGCTCCGCTCCCCTCCCAGATCCCAGCAGTCCGTAGGAGGCTATTTAGTGAGCAACAAGTCTGATTAAAACCTAGCAGAGCCTGGCAAGGTGGTTTCCCCCAGAGGGTTCCTGAGATTTTCCTTCCCGGAATCGCCCATCCGTCCTTGGTTCTTGTGCTGGCTTGCCAGTCCTGCCACCGTTTCCCAAGCAGCGGCAGACGCCCTGTGGTTTAGCTCCTCATTTCCTGCCGTCAGCTGAGATGGCCCCTGCACCTTAGCCCAGCCTCTCCTTGCTAGCTGCCTTCCAGCCCCACCATGTGGAAGCAGAGAGTACCAAGGGGTCGCCAGCTGGCTCCTGGCTCTCTTCTCCCCTGGAACCGTCTCCCCCATCGTGTGCCCTGTCCAAGAGCGCGGAAGGAGTCACTGATCCTGAGGCATCTCTGCAGCCGGGATTTCAGACTGGGACAGAATTCTGGCTCGACAGCACTGCCGAGTCTGCATTCAGGAAAAGGGCAAACACATCACTGGGATTCCATCCTATGGTGGTCTTTCTGGAGGGTTTTCTTAGGGCAGTGGTTCTCAACCTTTTTAATGCCGCGACCCCCAACCGGTCGTAAGTTGAGGACTACTCAACCGGTCGTAAGTCAAGGACTACTCAGCTGGTGCAGCACCGTTTCCAGAATGGGACTTTTGGCGGGCTCAGCAGGGCAGAGACAGCCGGGACAATTCTTATTGGCTTTTGAAAGCCAATAGAATTAGACTCTATTCAAGAGAGTCTATTCTATTGGCTTTCAAAAGCCAATAGAATAAAAGGGAGTAGCACAGCTAAGGAAAAGGGGGAAAAAAATGGCGGACTGCGTTGTTTGGCGACCCCCGTGAAATGGTCGTTCGACCCCCAAATGGGGTCCCAACCCACAGGTGGAGAACCACTGTTCTAGAGCATCCTTGTTTTTCTTCTTTACTGTCCTGCACCTCCCTCTCCTTGGCAGGTGGCTGGGGAGTACAAGTATCACCCGGAGTGCTTCGCCTGCATGCGATGCAAAGTGATCATTGAAGATGGCGATACCTACGCTCTGGTGCAGCACTCGGCTCTTTACTGGTAAGGGGCCGCAGCCAGGCTCAGCCATGGGCTTGGATGGCTCTCTGGGACAGGGAAGGCCTTCTGCTCTGCACTTAGCCCTCCTCGGTCCTGAGAATGGCAGGAAAGGTTTGTGTTTTCCCCCACTCCACTCCCCAGAGAGGGGAGGGAACTGAGAGTGCATCCTGGTCCCCAACCACTCTGGTGGGGCGTCAGGAGCATGTGGAGTCAGTGGATCTTCATGGCACCAGGTAAGGAAAGGCTGCATGAGATGGTTGCGCTTTTCCACTCCTCAGACCATCTTTCATATCCAGGCCCTGCCAAGGCCTAGGATTTGGGAACAGGAATCAGGAGATCTGTGCTATTTGTAAGACATTAATCCATTGGCCAGCTGCCTTCAAGTGGTCATGCAACCCATATCTCTGAATGCCTACTAAAGGGAAAGGCTGGAAGGTGGATGTCTGTCCACGTGTTGTCTTGGAATTTCTTTGAAACAAAGTGGAACGTGGACCCTATGTTTCCTCATTGGTCAGCCAAGCTGCCTCTTGGATCTATAGCCTTGGAATCTTGATGCTTCCCTTCTTCCTAGCCACCCTGGTCCCATGTGGGGAGATAACCCTGAGGGCAAGGGGGTGCTGGAATACCAAAAAGTGAACGTTGGAAGCAAAGCTGTCTGAATATAGGCCTTGTCTTTGCAGCCAGCAGCCCTGTAGGGAAGGTCAAGGGTTTGGATGAGCTGCTTCCTAGCTGACAGCCTGGGCATGGAAAGCATACACGGCCTTTTCTGTCCCCTGGTCGAAACTAACAGCAGAATTCTGTTCTCCTTTTTCAGTGGCAAATGTCATAACCAGTTTGTGCTGACGCCAATGCTAGAAAGATTGTCAACAGAGCCTCTGTGTGAACAGCTGCCGTACACTTTGACGCTTCTCTCCATGCCTGCCGCCACCGATGGCGAAAGGGGGTTTGCTGTGGCTGTGGAAGGGGGCTGCTCACCCTATGCTGCTACTGTTGAAGTGAAGGAGTGAGTATGAAGCTCTCGTAGCCATGAAATGCAGGGTTTTTTTCCCCCTCTGATCTAGCTATCTCGAGATGCAAATTCATAGTTGTGTGGCTTTGCGTTTTCATTCAAGCTTCTGGCACGGATATGGTTCCTGTCACCTTGAGCAATGATCTTCATTGGGAAAGCAGCCCCGTTTGATCCTCCTGTCTCTCTCTCGGTGGAATTAATGCCATTGGCCAAAGTGTCTTTCTCTGTGCCTTGAAAATTGGAGGCATCGTGTTGAAATGGTTCTGTTCGCGAATTCTTCCCAAAGGAGCCCTCAAAAGGACTCAAATGCAATGCATTTTAAACACATTGCCATTATTAATGGATAAGGCACTTGTGATCTGTCTGACGTGTAACCTGCATCTGCATAATCTTTGCCTCATCCCAGTTTCAGTCTTGCATCACTCCGATACAGCAGATGTAATGCAGAAAGCATCTATTAGGAAAAAATCTTAGTTAAAAGAAGTGATGCCTGACTCCTCCTCACAAAAGACTTGAAAGTAAAACAGTTTCAGTGAAAGGTAACAAAGATGACCAAGGGATTGCAAAAAAAAAAAAAAGTCCTAAAAAAACCAAGTGTGCTTAGTCTTGAGAAGACTAAATAGGGTTGTACTAAAATACTTTTCAAGTATTTGAAAGGATGTCAGAAGAAAAGAGTCAGGACTTGTTCTTGTCATTCAAAAGTGAGGGACACCAAAGCATGGTCTTCACTTACAGAAAAGCAAATTCAGATTTTTAGGAAAAATGTCCTAATGGCAAGAGCAGCCTGACTGCAAAATCAGTGGCAGTGGATGCCCTGCTTGGGTTGAAGAGACAATTAACAATTAACTAGTGTATGTAGGAAATACATGGGAGACTTTAACTACCCTGATATCAACTGGGAGACAAACTCTGCAGCAAGTGGGAGATAAAACAGATTCTTAACAAACTTAGCTGACAACTTTGTCATCCAAAAGGTAGAGGAAGGAACTAGAGGACATAGTATACTTAGACTTCAGCAAGGCATTTGACGAAGTAGATCACAACCTACTTTTTGGTAAACTAGAAAAAATGTGGGAAAGACAACATCATCACCAGATGGATTTGTAACTGGCTCACAAACCACACTCAACTAGTAGTCCTTAATGATACTACTACATGGAGGGAAATAAGCAGTGGGGCACCACAAGGTTATGTCTTAAGCCCAATACTCTTCAATATCTTCATAATTGACTTAGATGAGGGAATAGAAGGGGAACTCATCATATTTGCAGATGACACTAAGCTGGCTGGAATAGCCAACAGCCCAGAAGACAAACTCAGGATCCAAAAAGACCTTGACAGACTTGAACAATGGGCCTCATCCAACAACATGAAATTTAATGTGGAGAAAAGCAAGGCTTTATATCTAGGCATGGAAAACCAAATGTACAAATACAGATTAGGCAAAATCTGGCTCAAAAGAGGACAATCACTTAAAACATGAGCCAGCTGTGTACAGCAGCAGCCAAAATAGCTAATACAATCCTTGGCTGTATAGAGGCGTAGAATCAAAATCACATGAAGTATTAGTACCACTTGATAAATCCTTAGTGAGGCCACATCAGGGATACTGTATCCAGTTTTGGTCACCACATTACAAAAAAAGATGTTGAGACTTTGGAAAAAGTGCAAAGAAGAACAACTAAGATGACTAAGGCCTGGAGTCTAAAACATATGAAGAACTGTTGCAGGATTTGGGTATGGCCAGTCTAGAGAAAAGAAGGACTAGGGGCAACATGATAACAGTGTTCCAGTAATTGAGGGGCTGCCACAAAGAAGAGGGGGGTCAACTTATTTTCCAAAGCACTAGAAGGCAAGGTGAGAAGCAATGAATGGAAACTAAGCAAGGAGAGAAGCAAACTGGAATTAAGGGGAATTTTTCTGACAGAATAATCAACCTGTGGAACAGCTTGCCTTCAGATGTTGTGGGTGCTCCACCACTGGAGGTTTTTAAGAAGAGACTGGACAGTCACTTGTCTGAAATGGTGTAGGGGTTACTGCTTGAGTTGGGGGTTGGACTAGAAGACCTCAAAGGTACCTTCCAGCTCTATGCTCCAGCATGGAAAGAATGGAGAATCCACTAATGGCTTAAAGAAGTCCTCTAGACCAGGGTAGGCAACCTTGGCTCTTTTATGACTCGTGGACTTCAACTCCCAGAATTCCTGAGCCAGCTATGCTCAGCTTCCCTGAGGCAGTATCTCCCCCCCTCCCCCTTTTCAGCTACATTCCTAAGATTCCTTCTCTGGCAGGAGATCGTGTCCTTAGCTTATTGCTTTCAGTTATTTGCCAGCAGAAGCTTGTTACTTCTGATTCCAACTACTACTTTCAGTTTTTTCTTCTGTGGCCGGTGCGGCCGCCATTTTGGATCGCCACGCAGTCCTTGGCCGTCTTAGTTTGGGTTTCCTCTTTCCCTTCTCAAGCTGGTTTTCTCCTCGACAATTTAAATTGCTGCTTCTAGACTTCTCAATTGTTGCTTATCTCTGGCTATTAATTGGATTCTTCGTCTTAGTTTCGGTTTTTTCATTCCCTTCCCAAGTTGGTTTCTCTTTGACAATTACATTATTGCTTCTAGATTTCTCAGTTGTTGTTTTTTTTAATCAGGCAGGCATTTTGTCCCATACAGCTGCCGTCCTTCCTTATGGTCAGGTTCAGATCCGGCCTCAGGGAACGTAATGCGGCCCTTTCCGGCAGGACCAGACCGCTCCTTGGACCGGACCGGTTACAGAGACAGGTCAAAGTGACTCGGGTCGGGACCCTCCCATAGGCGGCAGACTGACATATTATTTCCAAAAATGGGAAGACACCACCACGGATTCTTGGGTTCTCACCACCCTGGAATTCTTAACATCTCCCCTTCGATGCTTCATCTCCTGCCCCTTGTTGCAGAATCTGGTAAAGAAGGGCCTCATGAAGGAAGCCATTCAACATCTGTTAAACATAGAGGCCATAGAGCGGGTACCATCGGGTCAATGGGGGCAGGGGTTCTACTCCATCCTCTTTGTGGTTCCAAAGACCTCGGGGGGATGGAGGGCGATACTTGACCTAAAGGTCCTAAATTCGTACCTATTATATTGCAAGTTCAAGATGCAAACGCTCCAATCCATCTTGGGCAGCGTTCGTCAGGGGGATTTCCTCACATCAATAGACCTTACAGAGGCATACCTGCACATTCCCATTCACCCGGGTCACAGACAGTTCCTCAGATTCAGGTATTCCAACCATCATTACCAATACAAGGCTCTACCGTTCGGCACATTCCACGCGCATTCTACATCAGCTGCGTGGCAGACTCAAGCTTCTATAGTTGACATTTGTAGGGCGGTGACGTGGTCATCGCCTTCCCCCTTCATCCGTCATTACAAGTTTGACAAATTTGCTTCTGCAGAGGCCTCTTTCAGCTGCTATGTCTTACAACAGGTGGTCCAAGCAACACCGACACTTGATTGGCCTGCGTCCCACCCGTAGGGTCACATGGGCTTTGTTATATCCTATTAGTGGATTCTCCATTCTTTCCATGCTGGAGAAGGGGTGTTGTCTTACCTGAACGTCTTTTCTCAGCATGAAGAATGGAGAATCCACCCCCTGCCCTTTGAAATTCGCAGTCAGGTCAGTGTCAGTAGTTTGGGAGCCAACAGTCACACACTCATTGGCTTTGCCCTCTTTGAAACTGGGGGCATGGTCCAGCCCAGCAGGGGCGTGGCAACTTGATTGATTGGTCTAATTGGGCTAGAGGACTTCTTTAACCCATTAGTGGATTCTCCATTCTTCATGCTGAGAAAAGGCGGTCAGGTAAGACAACACCCCTTTTGATTGATTGATTGATTAAGAATTCTGAAATTCTTGGTAAGGAATAAAATTGGATTTTTCTGCTAATCGAGGGATTGGATTTGCTCGTCTCTGTGGTCACTTTCAACTCTGATTATTGCAAAAGAGGAAAAAAAGAGAGAAGCATGTGGTGGAGCATATTATAGCAGCCTACATGCACACCAAGAAATCTTTTTCTATATCATCCAGAAGTGCAGAGGGCATGGTTAATTATGTAAATTATAAGAATTACAGTGCCTCTGTTGGTTGGTCTCATTTATTTCTTGTGACAGTTTTGGAATTTAGAGGTTGCATCCTAGTTTTCTTACCAAAACATTTGCATATGATTTAATTTGGGTGCAGCAAACTTCCCAGAAAGATTATCCACCTGTGTAACTGATTCTGTATAAATGCTTATAGGATGGGATGAACTCAGCCTGCCCACAGTCAGATTCTCTGTTCCGCTTTGCATTCCTTCCACCTCCTTCACTGATCTTTTCTGATTGTCAAGCTTGCTTCCTTCTCAGCTGGAAGTCCTTGCAGGACCTAACTGCTGGAAACTAGGACTATTGGAGAAATACGAGAAAAACCTAGAGAAAAACTCCTGTGACTTTTCAGTAGCGAGACACTCAACATTGAATTGAGTGCAGTGGGACATGAATGCAATAAATCAAATAAGTATGTTCCACAGCAAGGAGCTGTGGGACTTGGAGAAGCCACAGATGCTCCATCTTGCAAAAACGGAGGTGAAGATGGCAAGTGTAAAATGGGTGGCTTCCTGGGAGATACCCGCAGCTTTTTCGTATGTCTGTTTAGAACAGACATGGCAAACACAAGGAAGGGGCTGGATGCAGCCCGCGAAGTGGTTTCATGTGGCCCGTGAAGTCATCCTGGAAACAGTGAGGGAACGGCCCCCACTGCCTTGGCCCTGGCCCAGGCTGGCCAGGAGCCAATGTACAATTTTGTGGTGGCCATCTATGCTGAAACACCTTCAGTCTTAGCTCCACAAGGCTGTTTGGAAACAGCGAGGAACCAGCCCCTGCCGCGTTGGCCTCGCCTCCTGGGTGCATGCTGGGGAGGTGTCCCCCTTTGTGAGGAATGAAGAAATGCACCATGCCTTGGCGCTCGCCCCGGTCCCACCCCCTTCTGCCAGAGACCCTCAGATCTGTCCCACTCCTGCCCAGGCCCCCACAGGCACCCTTGACATGAACAATATAGAGCTGACCATGCCCACTCAGTGGGCCACGGCCACGCAGTAGGCTTCACCCACCCTGGCCATACCCACCTGGCCCCCCCAAGGGCAACCGCAATGCTGATACGGCCCTCAATGAAATTAAATTTGACACCCTGTTTTAGAAGGCCTGCAAAATTGTAGCCCTTCTGGAGCAAGCGGAAACAGGCATCTTGCATCCCTAGCTTGGCTTTGGCTTCCAGTTAGTGACCGTTTGTTTAGTGACCATTTGAAGTCTCAATGGCATTGAATGAATGGTATTTATGCACTGCTCCGCTGGTCACATGATCAAAATTTGGGTGCTTGGTAGCTCACCCACATCTGTCTGTCTAGCTATCAAACTAGCTATCGAACTATCCAGCTATCACATTTATTTATTCCCCATCTCGCTGTGGGGCTACTCTGGATGGTTTACAACAATTTAAGACCATAGGATGCGCTTCACTTCCCCCTAACCCTATTTCTGCCCTTTTGGCTGTCCTGCACTCCATTGCTACCTACCCCGCCATCCCTTTCACTGTCATCTTCCTCCCAGCTGCTCCAGCTGAGGCAACTGCTGGCCCTCCCAGCAGCAGTGGGAGGGAGGGAGGGAGGAAGAAGATAACAAAAATCAGCTGGGGTGGCAGGGGTAGATGGTGATGGAATGTGGGGGTGTCCCAAAAGGCAAAGATAGGGAGAGAGCTAGACAAGTAGTGGAGGGGCCTTGAAGCTCAGCCTAGGGCCATAAATACAGACGTACCCAAATGCCGGTCATTTGTCCCCAGGCGCACTGCAACAGCCGTAACTGAGGACTGCTCCTGACTACCCTTCATTCATCGCTACTGTCAGTGAGCAAAAGGTCATTAAGCAAGGACTATCTGTACTTGTTCCTAGCAGGAAATGCTTGCTGGGGTATCCTCCCCGGCGTATACTTTTTTCTCTCCCCTTTGCTATGTGGCCCCTCACAGAGACTCGTGGAGGAGGCAAATCCTTCTGATCTCAAGCTAGGCTTTTTTCTTCCTTCAGAGTCAACCGAACGCACATCAGCCCTGAGGTCCAAAATGCCATTCACCCTGGAGACAAAATCTTGGAGATCAACGGAAACCCAGTTCGCACACTACAAACCGAAGAGGTACGTTCCGAACAGCCTTTCTTGTGTCCTGCTGTGTCATGACTTGAGGAGGGACCAAAGGCCTCTTGGGCTGGGTTTCCCAGCCGTCTTTTCTCTGAAAAGTGAAGAGGCGCTGAGAGAGAAGAGAAGAGCAGGCTGGCTGAAGGGCCCTGGGGGGGTTGTCTGATGCTTCAGAAGACCTGGCTTCTTCTGTAAGGTGGTATTTTAAAACAAAAGTAGGGGGTTCGTATCCTTGTCTTCCTGAGTGCCAGTTGAAAAACTCGCATCTGTTGTTTTGATTTTCATCACAGATTTATGTGACATCAATAAAGCAGCCCTGATCAGCAAAAGTGCTTTTAATTGAACTCAGCCCAGTTGCTTCTTAAGAAAATGAGCAGGCAAAGAAATGCCTCCTTCAGCCAATCCTCCCCATCCCAGGTTGATGGAGGAAGATTGTGGACGTGTTCTTTTGGAAACCTTTCCCCAGCACAGCCCAATTCTCTGACTTCTTTACTTCTCAGGTCAAAGAACTGATTCACAAGACCAATCAAACCCTTCAGCTGTTAATCGAGCATGACCCGGTCTCCCAGCGCTTGGACCGGTTGCGCCTGGACTCCCGGCTGTCCGGGGGCCATAAGAAGCCCTCCACCCCTTCTATTTCTGCCTTGGCGCTCAAGGAGAATCTGGAAGGGACCCTGCGACGGCGCTCCCTCAGGTAACGTACCTGGACTCCAGAATGGCCTGCTAATCTCCAGCTGGGAAGTGGAGCACCAGCAAGCGCTGCCCTCTGGCCATAACGTCAGTCCTTTGAGGTGGCCAAGCCAGGGAACTGACCGGGCCAGTTTGGCTGGAATGCTCCCTAATTGACCTGGGTTCTAGTAAGAGAATCTCAAAAGCCTGACTGGGTTTGCCCTTTTCTCCCTCCTGCAGCTCAGGATGGGCTCCTTCTGAGTTCCTTGCTGGTGTTCCTTTCCCAGGCTTCAGTCAGGTCGCTGAACATGTGGCTGGAACCGTCTCCACTGTGTAGTGTCTGCAAGGCCCTTCGTTGGCTCTCCGCAGGGCGGGCGCTTTCCCCGTCCACTTCTGCTCAGCCTGCTGTGGCTCCTCACCTTTATTGTAAACTACTAGCCAGTGGTACATGAGCAGCCTTCGATTTACCACTCCAATTGGGATCAGAATTTCCGTTGCTAAGCAAGACGATGATTGAGTGAGTGGTGCCCAATTTTACAACCTTGCCATGGTTGTTAAGCGAATCACTGCAGTTGTTAAGTGAATTACGTGGCTGTTGAGTGAACCATTGACTGCTTGTTGGGAAGGTGGCAAATGGCCATTGCATGATGCCAGGGTGCTGCAGCCACTGTAAATACATGCCCGTCGCCAGACTCTCGAAGTTTGGTCACGTGACCTTGGGGATGCTGCAAGGGATCAGTCATAAGTCACATTTTTTCAGTGCCTTTGTAACTTCAAATGGTGGCTAAACAGGGTGGTAAGTTGAGGACTGCCTGTAGAAAGTGTGAGAAATAGGGGAAATAGGCTGGATACCATCCCCGAACCACACGTTTCCTGACACAGCAGCTTTGCCCTGGTTGTCTTTGGTAGGTGAGCTACAAGGAGTAAGATAGGAAGCTCAGATGTTGAAACCTTGGCCTGCTCTCCAACTCTGGAATACCTGGCTTGTTGTGCTGCCACCATCGGCTTCTGCCTGCTGTTTTTCCCTCTGATCCTGATGTGTGAGATCAGCACAGGCATCCTGCAGCCTCGACACCTTACTGGCAAATGGAAGAAAAACAGATGAGAACAATGGGATCAAACATCTCTAGCCTTACCCTTTAGTCCAGGGGTCCCCAACCCCCAGTCCGTGGACCAGTACTGGTCTGTGGCATGCACAAATAAGCAAAGCCCCATCCGCGGGATGCAGGCAGCACACAGAACCATGCAGTCTCCGATCCACGGAAAAACCTTTCTCCACGGTGCCCTAAAATTGGGGCCTCTGCTTTAGTCCTTCAAGGGTTTGACCAGGAAAATCGCCCTTCCCTACTTTGAGGGTTAGATCATTCACGAGGTATAATTAAAATCAACATTAGGAACGGGAAAATATATAACAGTTACTTTATTTGTATATGGTCACCTGTAAAAACAATTGTTGGTAGAAGAAATAAAAAAATGCTGTTTGAATCCCAAACCTGACCTTTAAGGGATTTCTTATAAACTTGGATATAATCAGTGGTGGGATTCAAATATGTGAGCAACCGGTTCTCTGTATGGATGCCGCTTCTGGAAGTCCATTCTGGGCCTGGGCAACAAAAAATTAGCTACTGGTTCTGCCAAAGTGGTGTGAATCGGCTGAATCCCACCACTGGTTATATAATATGTGATAAATCTACTGCTCAGAGATCCCAAGAGGCATCAAACATACTTAGGACCTCATTTATAGTAAACTTCAAAGACAATCTTAATTAGCACATTGAAAATGAAGGATAATGCAGTACTAGCTAGACCACAGGTCGGCAACCTGTAGCTCCGGAGCCTCCCCCTGTGGCTCCCAGCCTCCTCTGCCTTTGCAGAGAGAAAGACGAGACAGAGAGAGGCACTTGCGCTTCCCTGCTTCTCTCTCTCTCTCTCTCTCTCTCTCTCTCTCTCTCTCTCTCTCTCTCTCTCTCTCTCTGTGTGTGTGTGTGTGTAAAAGAGAGTGCACTCACAGTGTTCTCCGAGGAGCTGAAAAGCTTACTGGGCGGAGCTCCTCCCTTTGCTGAGTCTCTGCAGGGAGCTGGGAGAGCAGGAGAGAGCTAGCTAGCCCAGCTAGGCTGACTCAGGAATTCTGGGAGTTGAAGTCCATGAGTCATAAAAGAGCCGAGGTTGCCTACCCCTGAGCTTGTTGGACAACAGCTTGAAGCTTGCCAGGTAAGCAGCAGATAGGAGGAGGGGGAGAAAGAAAGAGAAGGAGGGGGGGAGAGGGAGGGAGGGAGGGAGAGAGAGAGAGAGAGAGAGGAAAGAGAGAGAGAGAAAGAGAGTGGGGGAAGAGGAGTGGCAGACCAAGGGCAGATAGAGAGGGAGGGAGGGAGAGAGACAGAGAGAGAGAGACCCTTTTGACATCTAAAATGAAGCTAACACTGCATATATCCTTTTTTTACCTGTGTGTATATATGTAATTTTATTCTCTTAAAGCATTCTCTTGGTGATCATTGTTTTAATAGTATGGATATTCCCAAGAGTGATATTTTTACTTTTATTTTTAATGTGTGTGTGTGTGTATACACACACACACACACAAACACACACACACACACACCCCTATAATAAAGGTAAAAAAGGATATATGCAGTGTTATCTTCATTTTAGATATCAAAAGGGTTTTGCGGCTCTCGGTGTTTTGTTTTTGGTGGGAAATGGGTCCAGGTGGCTGTTTGAGTGTTTTGGGTTGCCTACCCCTGAGCTAGACATTAACCCGTGTTTAATACAAATTTGGCAACTTCTAAATGTGTAAACTTCAACTCCCAGAATTCCCCAGCCAGCATCCGAAGCACTGCCATGCAGCTCAAATTTCTTTGGGTAGAACAGACTGAAGGCCAGAGACCTGAGTCTTAACAGGGGAAACCAGAGTTACCTGAATACCCAGCAGCGAGAGTGGGGTATCGGAGTTAAGTGCGGGAATAAGACCAGGAAGCTTCCAGTCCACCCTCAGTCCTGCAAGCTCTGTGTGGGACTCTGGACCACTCAAAGTCTTTCAGCTCAACTTGCCCCACTGGGTTATTGTAAAAAAATTCAGAAGAGGGATGCAGGAGATGAAATCCACAGCCACATGGACTGCAACTCCAAGAATTCCTCAGCCAACCAGGTTGAGCTGAAGTCCACAAGTCTCCAAGTTGCCAAGGTTGGACACCCTGGCTGGGTAGAGCAATTGGCTGTGCACAAAGCATATAATTTGTGTATTATCTCATACAGGACATCCCACTAAACAGGTTAACAGAATATCTGCATTTCACAGCCCAGGCCACTCCAATCCATTAATACTGCATCAGAGCCATACCTGACAATAACCCTGTAGTTTTATAGGTCCTAAGTGGAACGCAGACCACGACCCAGCCTGAAGCAGATTCTCACGAGCAACAAGAAACCACGGGACAGTGAGGCTAACGAGAGACCCTCCAATAAATCCAGCTCTTGCCTCTGCATTTACACCACCAGCACCATCACAGACCTCAGCAGCTCCACAAATAAGACTGGATGCACACAAGTTCACGTGCTCTTCTAATGCCCTCATTTGCTGGCAGTTCTCCTTTGGGTTCTGCGTAGGACGAATAGGCCAGCTGTTTTGGAAACAGAAACTTCGTCAGCATGATGCACCACAAGACCAGTGGACTCACAAACATCAATAAGTTTTGGTTTATTTCAGAAAGTCTCTCAACAAATAATGATTTTTAAGACATCATATCTGTTAACTGATACAGTTCTTGTAATCTGTCTCGGACATAATCTGCCCAATCATTCTCCCACTTTTCTCCACCTCATCCCAATGGTGAAATGAGTTGCAGCTCATGAAAGTTTATACCTTTTAATGATAAATTTTGTTAATCTGAAAAGGTGCTACCAGATTTTCTGGTGTTTGGCTAATGTGATTCTCTTCCTATAAGGCAGTGGTTCTCAACCTTTTTAATGCCGCGACCCCCAACCGGTCGTAAGTCAAGGACTACTCAACTGGTGCAGCATCGTTTGCAGAATGGGGCTCAGCAGGGCAGAGACAGCCTGGACAATTCCTATTGGCTTTTGAAAGCCAATAGAATTAGACTCTATTCAAGAGTCTAATTAGACTCTATTCAAAAGCCAATAGAATAAAAGGGAGTAGCACAGCTAAGGAAAAGGGGGAAAAAATGACGGACTGTGTTGTTTGGCGTGAAATGGTCGTTCGACCCCAAATGGGGTCCTGACCCACAGGTTGAGAACCACTGCTATAAGGGAACAATAGAAAATCCTAAAGTAAATTGCCATTCAGGAGCAAGAGCCCTCCTAAACTACTTTTTCAGGACTGCTGGAGATATTTAGTAGTTCATTAATTGAATTAATTGTGTGTATATGTTTACTTTGTCATGTTCTCATCATACGCTAAACAAACAAATAATTGGATCTATTCTTCCTGTAGAGGCCCATTTAGGGACAGAATTGGGCAAAATAACACATATGCAAAGGGTTAAAAGGAGGGGGCATTGTTTGGTAGCCTGGATCCTGGTCTGGCCCATGAATGTTCAGCCTACCCCTGCATGGAGCCAATTCTCTGTGTTGTTTCTTAAAGTGCTCCTCTTGTCCGGAGGTCGGCCTGCATGAGGCTTCGCACTGAGGCTGCCGATGGCACCTGGAGTCCTGTCAAAGACAACCCCTTCTGAATGTGTGTTGTATTGCAGGCGCAGCAACAGCATCTCCAAGTCCCCCGGGCCCAGCTCCCCCAAGGAACCCCTCATCCTGAGCCGCGACATCAGCCGATCGGAATCCCTTCGCTCCTCCACCAGCGGTTCCCAGCAGATCTTCCGCCCCTGTGACCTGATCCACGGGGAGGTGCTGGGCAAAGGTTTCTTCGGCCAAGCGATCAAGGTGAGAGAGCCAGCTTGCCTGCCCCCTTTCTCAACACCCAGGCTTCACATGTTAATTTCATCCCCCTCCCCCCCCAAATCCTCAGGAGTCTTGGAGGTGACCCATGAACTTGATGAATTGTAGAACTGAATACATAGAGAACTGTACGTGTAGAGTTTGCCAGCTCCAGCCTTCTTCCTGTGCATCAAGCAGAGTTCTGCCCCTGCATCTGGAGGGCAATACAGGTAGTCCTTGATCTATGACAGTAGTAGGCCACCATGGCTCTTTTATGACTCGTGGACTTCAACTCCCAGAATCCCTGAGCCAGCCATGCTGAGGGGATAGGGAGAAGTTTCCAAGCTGAGCCATGCTGGCTCAGGAATTCTGGGAGTTGAAGTCCACGAGTCATGAGGGGGCCATAGTTCCCTCATGCTGGCTCAGGAATTCTGGGAGTTGAAGTCCATGAGTCATAAAGCGGCCTAGGCCAGAGGTAGGCAACCTTGGTTCTTTTATGACTCGTGGACTTCAACTCCCAGAATTCCTGAGCCAGCCATGCTGAGGGAAAAGGGAGAGGTTTCCAAGCTGAGCCATGTTGGCTCAGGAATTCTGGGAGTTGAAGTCCACCAGTCATAAAAGAACCAAGGTTGCCTACCCCTGACCTATCACCATTTGTTTAACGATGATTCAAAGTTACAAAGTTCAGTGGCCGTGAAAAGGGACCTGTCCTCAAAGTTACGGCCATTGTACGTACCATTGCAATTCAGGCACTTGCATTTTACTGGGATTGCAGCATTGTGCACAATTTGCAACCTACCCAGCCAGTTTCCGACAAATTAATTTGGGGGGGGGGTAGTCAGATTTCTTTAACAACCACGCAATTCACTTAACATCCCAGTGATTTGCTTAATGACCATGGTAAAAAAAAAATACCTGCAAAATTGGGTCTGGTCACTTGATGACTCGCTGAATGGCTGCATTGCTTAGCAACCAAAATTGCAGTTCCACTTGTGGTCATAAGTCAAGGACTTCCTGTAGGTTGGGCGGCTTATATGGTGGTTGAGGCAAGACCTTTTCAGTATCTAGAGGGAAGTCTACAAGGAGGCCTCTTGCCAGCTCCTCTGGGGTTTCTAGCTTGGCTGCCTCAGGTTTGTGTGCACCCCACTCCCGATTCCGTATGCTTAGAGCAGTGGTTCTCAACCTTTTTAATGCTGCAACCCCCCCCCCACCGGTCGTAAGTCGAGGACTACCCAACCGGTCGTAAGTCAAGGACTTTCCCTGCCCAGAAGCGCCGCACATACATGGTGCGCCCCCTGTGCCGGCCGAGGCATAGCTGGCAAGGGGCAGCAACGGCGCAGGGCGACCACCAGCTGGGCCACCAGCTGGTCCCGCCCAAGGGAGGTAAGGCACCCACCGGGCCCCATGTGCGCCAGCAACCCTCCCTGCACCTGCCGGCCTCCCACCCCTGGTCCTCTTTTACTTACATTTTTAGTAGTTGCTCAGCAGGGAGGGGTGGAAGTTTCCAGACAGTTCGCCTTCGCTGCAGACAACTTGCAGCACCGTTTGCAGAATGGGACTTTTGGGGGGCTCAGCAGGGCAGAGACAGCCTGGACAATTCCTATTGGCTTTGGAAAGTCAACAGAATTAGACTCTATTCAAGAGAGTCTATTCTATTGGCTTTCAAAAGCCAATAGAATAAAAGGGAGTAGCACAGCTAAGGAAAAGGGGGGGAAAATGGCGGACTGCGTTGTTTGGTGACCCCCGTGAAATGGTCGTTCGACCCCAAATGGGATCACGACCCACAGATTGAGAACTGCTGGCTTAGAGGAAGGAGAAGAAGGAGTTGCTCAAAAGGGCCTCTCTGCACCCCACGCTTTGCACCATCTTGCTGGCCATGGTTTGGGGCCCATTCCTGCTATTGACGGCTTCCCATTTCTCCAGATACAATGTCAGATTTGACTGCTTGGCTTGAGGAGGGGGCTTGGCATCCACGGCTTGCTTCCTGTCCCACACTCAGAATTGGACCTGTCAGGCCCAGACAGGCTCTCTCCCCATTGCTGGCACCCTCCTGCCTTGGCTGAGCTTCACAAAGGAGGAAGTGTGCCCAGCCTGAGGTGCTGCAGAGAAAACCCGGAAGAGTTCCTGGGCTTGGTGGATATATCTTTTATTTATTTTTAAAATGTACAGCCTCAAGGTAACTCTGGATGGGTGGAGGACGTGGACCAGGAATGACCGCTATTGATTGGGGAAGGAATCAAATAGACCAGTGTTTCCCAAACTTGACAATTTTAAGGCATGAGGACTTCAACTCCCAGAATTCCACAGCCAGCAACGCTGGCTGTGGAATTCTGGGAGTTGAAATCCACATGCCTTAAAATTGTCAAGTTTGGGAAACACTGAAATAGACCATTAAAAAACTTATTTTTATAAAATTCAACAAATACATATAAGAGTTAAAAAGGAAACAATTTATGAAACTATATTAATAATATTCCTCCCATACATCTCACATAAAATGATTAGGTTCCTCTGGGTAGAGTTAAGATATAAAAATCAGTCACTGTATTTGAGAAACCTTTCATTTTAATTTGGCCAGAAAGTAGATGAGGAATGTGTGATGCGCTTTGGTATCAGGATTCCGTCATTCATATGTTTTTCCAGTGTTTATCTAGGGACATTTGAGCAGCAGTCAAGAAAAATACCCTTATTTCTTTAAAGTAAATATTTGCATTAGAACCTAAAAATATATTCAGCAAAGCAAGTTGTGAACACACATTAATTCTTTGACTCATAACTTTACCAATCTCCAAAAACCCTTTTTGAAACTTGGCAACTTTAAGATGCATAGACTTATTACAGGGGTTAGAGATCCCTCCATCCTGGCGTAATGCATTTATATCATTGATTCCAAAAGATAGTCAAGATCTTACTTTGCCTAAAAATTATAGGCCTATATCTCTTTTAAATGTGGATTATAAAATTTTTGCAAAAATTTTAGCTAACAGGCTTATGGGGATCTTGCAGCAGTTTATACATAGGGATCAATCGGGTTTTATAACTGGAAGGTATATGAAGAATAACGTTAGACAAATTATTAATTTATTAGAGTATTTAGAAAAGAATAACCAAGTCTCTGCAGGCCTGATATTTTTGGATGCTGAAAAAGCCTTTGATCAAGTGAATTGGCAGTTTATGCTGTGTTTAATCAAGGAGATGAATTTTGGACAAAATATATTACAAGTATTATCCAATATATATCAAAAACAGACTGCTCAAATTATTGTAAATGGGGGTTTGTCAGAGGCTTTTGTAATAGAAAAAGGAACAAGACAGGGATGCCCGTTGTCTCCGTTATTGTTTGTTTTAACACTGGAAATTTTGTTGATTAAAATTCGGGAGTCTCAAGAAATAAAAGGAATAGAAATTAATAAAAAAGAATATAAATTAAGAGCCTTTGCAGATGACTTGGTTGTTACTTTGTCTCAACCTGTTTCTTCGGTGGTGAAATTATTACAATTGATTCAACAATATGGACGTGTTTCTGGCTTTAAAATTAATAATAATAAGACCAAAATATTAGCTAAAAACATGACTAATGGTGATAAACAGGCTTTAGTTAACTTAACAGACTTTGAAATTGTTGATAAGGTAAAATATTTGGGGGTTACATTATCTGCTTCTAATGTAAAATTGTATAAAAATAATTATGAAAAGCTGTGGATGGAGGTACAGAAGGATTTAAAAAACTGGAATAATTTACAGTTATCCCTTATGGGCAGAATTGCAGTTATTAAAATGAATGTCCTGCCAAAGTTTATTTTTTTGTTCCAAATGTTACCTATCTTAAAGAACGAACGTAATTTAGATGAATGGCAAAAAGGTATTAATAAATTTGTTTGGGCAGGGAAAAAACCAAGGGTGAAACTTAAAATAATGCAAGATTTTCGTGAGAGAGGTGGACTCAAGGTACCAAATATGAAATTGTATTATGATGCTGTAGTATTGACATTGATTAGCGACTGGGTGAATTTAACAAATACAGAAATACTTCATTTGGAAGGCTGGGACCTATTTTTTGGATGGCATGCCTATTTAATATTTAATAAAAAAGTGGATTGGGTTTTTAAGTCTCATATTATAAGAAACTCTTTGCTAAGAGTGTGGAGAAAGTATTATAAAAGTGACTTCAAAATACCATTATGGGCTATACCTCGGCATGCCATAGAAGGTATAAGGAAAGGGGTAAATATGGACAAGGTCTCTTACGTACAGTTATTAAGATGGGATGGCCAAGACTGGCAGTTAAAATCTTTGGAAGAATTAACACATGAAAACTTAACTTATTCATGGTTCCAATATAGACAAATAGTGGATAGATGGAAGATGGATTGTAAAATGGGCTGGCTTAGAGAAGATGAAATTTTTTTAAAACAAGTAAGAGATCAAAGGCCAACCCATATTAAGAGAGTTTATGGGGTTTTAGTGGAATTAGATTCAGAACTTGAACTAGTTAAAGATTGTATGATTAAATGGGCACAGAATATTGGTGAAACGATTTCAATGGATACTTGGGAACTTATTTGGATAAGAAATGTTAAATTCACACAAGCGCAAAATTTAAGAGAGAATTTTTATAAGATGTTTTATAGATGGCACCTTGACCCAAAGAAAATGTCCATTATGTACCCTAATCTACAGCCGAAATGCTGGAGATGTGGATATTTGGATGCTACCTATTACCATATTTGGTGGACGTGTAAGCATATAAAAGCTTTTTGGATTAAGATATGGTGGAATATTCAAAGAATTTTTAAAAGGAGGGTAAAATTTACTCCGCAATTATTTTTACTAGGTATTGTTATTGACTGTGATGCTAAGGAGGTTATATTGATGTTAAATTTGATTACAGCCGCTAGGTTGTTAATAGGACAATATTGGAAGAAGGAATCTTTGCCTACTTTACAAGAATGGTTTCATAAAGTTTCGTATTTGGCAGAAATGGCAAAGATTTCGGCTTTCTTAAAGGAGCAATCTCAAGAAAAATTTTTTGCGGTATGGGAAAAATGGATAAATTTTATACAACATAATTTGGATATGGAAAAATATTATTTAGCCTTTTTATAATTTGTAATGATTGTTTTTTCTTTCTTTCTTTCTTCTTTTTCTTTTTTATATATATACATTTTTTATGTATTATTATTCATATATTTTTTTTTTATATATATATATATGCTTTATTCTTCGTCTACTTTCTTCTTTCTTCTTTCTCTCTCTCTCTTCTCTTTTTATTTTTTATTTTTTTTCTTTTTTAGTATATATTATTCATTTTAAAGTTTATGTTATGTATATTATTATTATATATATTATTACTGTGATTTTTATTATTATTATTAATTATTTTATAAATTGCAAATGTTATTTTTAAAATATTTGTTAAATAATCCTATATTCAGTTCTGGGAAGTCGGGGGGGGGGTGGGGTGGCTGGGGAGGGGGGGGTGGATTTTTATTTGTAAAACTTTTGAAAAATTTCAATAAAAAAAAAAAAAAAAAGATGCATAGACTTCAACTCCCAGAATTCCCCAGCCAGCCTCCCATTCTGAGAGTTGAGGTCTGTACATTAAAATCGCTGAGACTGAGAAATAGTGCTCTAGAATGTTTCCATGATTCTAGAATTAAACTCTCACTTAAGTTTTAAAAGTAACTAATTTTATAATTAGGATATCTCCAAGTTTCTTATAAAGCCAGTCTATAAAACAATCTGCTCTATGGAATTTATGACTCTTCAGATTTGGGATTATTTGACTGAGAAGATTTATCTCTTCTTTTATGAAGGGGGAATTTAACTCTTCCCTATGATTGTCTTCAAATGGTACAATATTACACCTATCCAAATAATTACTAATTTCATTCAATCAATCAGTCCGAATAGAGCTGGAGGGGACCTTGGAGGTCTTCTAGTCCAGCCCCCTGCTCAAGCAGGAGACCCTATACCATTTCAGACAAGTGACTGTCCAGTCTCTTCTTAAAAGCTTCCAGTGATGGAGCGCCCACAACAGGGAAGCTGTTCCACTGGTTGATTGTCCTCAGTGTCAGGAAGTTTCTCCTTAATTCCAGGTTGCTTCTCTCTTTGATCAGTTTCCAACCATTGTTTCTTATCCTGCCCTCTGGTGCTTTGGAGAATAACGTGCCCCCCTCTTCTTTGTGGCAGCCCCTCAAATACTGGAATACTGTTATCATGTCCTCCTAGTCCTTCTTTTCTTTAGACTAGCCAAACCCAAATCCTGCAATCGTTTTTCATATGTTTTAATCTCCAGGCCTTTAATCATCTCCGTTGCTCTTCTTTGCACTTTTTCCCAAGTCTCAACACCTTTTTTGTAATGTGGTGAGCAAAACTGGATGCAGTATTCCAGGTGTGGCCTTATTAAGAATTTATAAAGCGGTGTTAATACTTCACGTGATTTTGATTCTATGCCTCTATTTATACAACCAAGGACTGTATTAGCTTTTTTGGCTGCTGCCACACCCTGCTGGCTCATGT